ATTTCTGACGAGGCTTCAGTGAACAGTAGATGGTTCAACTGAAGGTCCAGATACATCTTTCCAAACACATCTCTCTTGCTGGACCTCTGTTTCTTGAGGACATGACTTTCAGATACTGTTCATATGCTGTATGAAGCTTGTTGGACCTACCACCTCTTCTTTTGTCTTCTGCTTGTCCAGTTTCATCTGATATTTTACTTCAATTCAGTTATATTTCTGCAGGTCCAAATCAAAACAAAGGTTGCCTCAAGGCGCTTTGTTTTATGAGGTAAAGACCCTACAATAATACAGAGAAAACAGAGAAAAGCCCAACAATCAGATGACCCCTTATGAACAACCGCTTTGGCCTGGGACAATGGAAAGGAAAAACGCCTTTTTTCTTTCTTTTTTTTTTTGGGCTTCAATGATAATATCCGTGTTAGTAGTTTAAAAGAAAACAAATAAAAACCAAAACAAACACACAAGCACACAATAATCATTTGAAAATGTTCAGGTGCAATGATTGAAGTGAAAACGAGAACGAGAAAGAACTAAAAAAAAATGAAAATGAGAGAACTATTGCTCGATTAAATTTTAAAGAATTACAAGAAAGCAACTCCTTGAGAACAGAATATAAAATATATAAACATAATGTAATAATGAATAATAAATAGAATAAAAATATGTATTTAAAAATATGTGTGACTCAAGACTTTTGCACTGTATTGTGCAGAAGGGAAAGGAATAAGTGTATAAGTTATGTGATGAAAATATTATTATATTATTATATATTATAACTAAGAATTATAACTATTGTTCGAAGCATGTAAACTTTTATTTTTTAGTAAAATTAGCTCGTGTAGTTACTAAAGAAAGCAACGCTTCTTTATTAAAAGATCAATCCGAGTTTTTGTTGTTGTAATTCCACGAAACATCCAGCAGGCGGCAAAGTAGAGGACCCAGGGCTGCGGCGCCCACAGGAAACGGAGATCAACAAAGCGGAAGTACTGAAAGGAAACCTCGGTTATTTTTCCAGCTACCCAAAGGGGAAAGTGAGAGACGATTTTTGTATCAAACAACAAATTTGGCATCACAGCAACGCCGAAGGATGGACAGATAGTGCTTGTTTAACTGAGTAAGTTGACAATTTGACGCACAGTTTTAAGATTTAGCCTCCATATCGATTCTCCACCGGATTCGGTGCTAACATTAGCCGCTATTGTTTTTAGCACCAATGTTAGCGCAAACTTCGGTGTGTTTTTTATTGTTTGTTTTATTCGGTGAAACTCCACGGCCATGATTAATCTATGATCTGTTGTTTTTATATTTTGAGTGTCGTATTTTTCACTAACTCGATTAATGTTTTCAGTAAACCCATGCCATTGTTTGTCGGCTAAGTTGCATGGCTTGTGTCTATGCATACTTTCGGTATTGTAAAGGTAGTAGAGTTATTAATAAATGTTGTAAACAATAAATAAAGTCAACTATCGCTAAAAGGCCCTTTATTGTAAATATAAAGCACCGGATTTTATGGTAAAACTTCGTGTTATTTTTTACTTTAAAACCAAGAGAGTCTTGAGAGCTTGAATAAAGAAAGCAACTGGACTTCTTTAGGTTTCTGAAGACGTTTTATCCAAGAGGCTTATTCAATTTTAAAAAGCAAAGGTGGGAAATCCCGGGAATTTTCCCCTTTGGGTGGTCCTGAGAGTCGTTAAGCCATTATCATCATTGAGGGGGTGAAGGGTGAAACTACTGGGAAGGGATCCTAAGACTGCATTGTAGTTTGTTGATACCTGACATTCTAATTATATCAATAATGGTCTTTTACAGTGGGTGTAGATGGTCACCTCAATAGGTCACATGATGGAGTGGGCAAGAGTAGTTTTGCCCTTATCCCCCAGTGATGGAAATGACCCGCACCTTTTTTTTGACACTTTGGCTCATGATCATCAAGTCTGTCAACGACTCTAAGGACCACCTTTTTTTAATGAATGTCCTGACATTCAGCCTAAACAGCTTGATCAACCTGTGATTAATTTCTGTAGTAACGCTAATTTCTGACTTTTAATTTCAGATTCACGGCTGCGGTCCTGATAAAGAGGTAATTCATCACATCTGAGTTCAACTTGCTGCTGAGGGTTCGAGAGACCTACCACAACTTTTTTGCCCCACAGTGACGCTTCAGAGTCTCTCTGCTTTTCCTTTAGCCACCAGCATGGCTAACAGCACTGTGACAGTGGTTAAGGGTCTGCCACCAGGCCCTGCGGGTAGAAGTAGTCCAGAAGGATCTCAGGTTAGTTAATGTTTTGCTTAGCAAAACCAAAGGCCAGGATCTGTGTAATAACTTACTGACTTCACGTCTTAAAATGCAAAAGATTGAGAGTGTATTTTGTTTTACATGAAGATTCTTTCTTTTTCTTTGTTTTGGTTTTTTGTTGTTGTTGTTTTTTGTTGTTTTTTACATGAAATATCAGTGCAAAACTTATGGCTCCTTGCTTTAAATGTGAGAAAACTGTATTGTATTGTGTTTTTTCATTTTTTTCATTTTATTTTTTATCTCTTACTATCACTAAGGTATTATGCAGACCACACAACTGCACCCATTAGCTTTTATTAAAGGATGATGGATGCATCTTCTTTTTTCTCAGGTGCTAAGTAAGAAAAAGCTGCAGGACCTGGTGAGAGAGATTGACCCAAATGAGCAGCTGGATGAGGACGTTGAGGAGGTTTGTCAGTAGTTTAAATAAATTGTGCAAGATCTTCTCTGTATTGAATAACATTTACATATTTTTGCTTTAAAGCCTTTTGTCATCATTTGCAATTAAAACTTGCCTAATGCTGTTAACAGCTGAAAATATGATGGTTTTCAAGCTATAGTGAAACGGATGGTTTCTTCAGTTCGCCGGGATTTCAAAATCCCTGTTTTCTTCTCAGATGCTGCTACAAATTGCGGATGATTTTATAGAGAGTGTAGTGACGGCAGCCTGTCAGCTGGCACGCCACCGCAAGTCCAACACCTTGGAGGTGAAAGATGTTCAGTTACATCTAGGTAAGTTGCTTGTGACGTTTTTGAGTGATTGGGTCATTCTATATTTTGTCAGGTTGTACTGTGTGCCTTGAGCTCTCACAAAGGACGTAAGAATGTTTATTCTGCAGTTATTGGTTGGCAGCTGTTTACAGAAATATTATCAAGGCTTATATTTAATTCAGTGCTACATGCCTTATGAGAATTTGATTTGAATTATTTATTTGCTGCTATCATCTGGTGGCTATTTATATTCAAATTTTGTTGTTACTTTGAGAGCACAAGGTGATTTAGCAGACTTTATATGCATAAAAAACGTCTGGTATAAATTGATTTTTTTATCACTTAAATTATAATAATGATAAGAACTTAATTTAATATTTGTAGATGGTTTCAGATAAATGTTAGGTAAACTATGTGCTTTCTGTGATAAGTTTGAATATCACAGAGGGAGTTTAAATTATTTACTGTAAAAGCCTTGAAAGAAAAAAATATAATATATATATATAACAATTTTTGAAAATGAGATGGAAATTAGATCTTTCCTTACAGACTGGGTTATTTGCCAGATATGATCACTTCAATATCAATATCTATTGTAAATCCCGATGAGCCTTTTAAAGTCTGTGGCCTGCTGCCATTGTGCATTGCTTTTCTCAGAGCGCCAGTGGAACATGTGGATTCCTGGTTATGGCTCAGATGAGATCCGGCCGTTCAAGAAGGCTTGTACCACAGAGGCCCACAAACAGGTGAGCGATTGGCTCTGCTACACATGTTAGATTACTGTAAATGGTAGAATAACTGCTGATCTTATATTTGTCAGTATGGTTAATTTGGTTTGTATTATGATGAACACTGGGCCTAATTGTTTTCATTTATTCTCATTTCAGAGAATGGCGCTGATCCGCAAGACAACCAAAAAGTAGCACGACTAAGATGTACCTATTGTGTTTTTTTTTTTTTTCATTCTCTTTTATTTTCCTGTCAACTGGGATGTTTTTTTGTTTGTTTATTTTTTTGACTAAAATAGAGAGGTGGTATTGGTGGATGTATTTTTCTTGACATTAATGTTTCATTGTCATAGCTCTGTAAGTTTTATGTGTTTTGCCAGAGTCATTGCACAATAGTGGTCTTTGTATGTTTGATTCTGTATTGTTGCCATTAAGCTAAACCTGGCAGAACTCCATTGCATCTTTGTCAATAAAAAAATGACTCGAATACTTTCTTGGTATCGTTTATTACTTGGATGTCAGTGTGACCTGACTCACGTGCCTTCCTAAAATACTTGGTTTTACCTTTCTCATTAGAGATTTATCATTAGATTAGATATATTGCAAGTAAAGTATATGACTGATTGGGACTCCTCTTTTTTTATTAAATCAATTTGTGCAATGATTATCATTATACTTATTTATAGGTTTTTGTAGTTAATTGAGGTGTAAACTACCAAATTGCTCTGTGGGTTGGTGTCCATTATTATGTGTTGTTGTGCACAATTATTGAAAACTACTACACTAACCTTAACACATTTTTTAGCATATTGTTTTGGTTTTAAATTTTACTTTTGTTTACTTTGGAAAATTGCATCCAGATAAGACAAACTTCAGATGGTAGAAATTGTCATTGTAAGAAATTAATGACTGAAATTACCAATCGGAAGGTTGGAGTATGGTGTATGTATTGCCAGACTTAAGTTGGTCAAATTACATGGATATGTTAATTATCTGAGATGCTGTTCCACATTTCTAGTAGATGTGAAATTGCCACACTATGTATTACATTAATACACCACAAAGGCTCAGATGTGATTAAATGGACTTCCTGCATACTTGCAGCCAACCAAGGATAAAGAAAGATATTCAGAAACAGCAGATGGCTACCAGCCATCATTTAATGACCTTGTTTTAGTTGCAGAGACACTGGGGGAAAAACCCCAATTTAATGTATGCACCTGAGAGTTTAATGAATTTCCACAGAAACACCTACAGACAACCAGTTCCTCACAGGATATTTACTAGTTATGTTACAAGACAACTGTTCAGGCTCATAAGAATAACTGAAGAGACAAATGAAGGTTCAAGACAATATTTGTAATCTGAACCAAGGGACCGAGTACCTTAATAGCTGCCAGTTACTGGCAGAACAAACAATATAGGAATATAGAAATTGAAAAGAAAATACAGAATACCTTTGTGGAGCAGTGGCTCCAATCCTATCACTTTTGACCCCTCAAAGTCATAAACCTGCTTGCAAACCGCTTTTTGTAATCTCTTTGTGTGGACACGAGCTGTGCAGACTACCTCGCCTCCTCAACCTTCAAGCCGGTGGACTTTTGAATAATTGTGACTCTGACACAATTACATCTTTAGCACCCATTAGACAAATTAGAGAAAAGAACAAACAACTTGTCATATTACAGCCTCTGCCCCAGCTGAACTGAGGTTAGCCATGACCTCATAAGTCCATTAGCGTAATATGCTGTGGAGCCGACATCTCACTAAAGAGAGAATTACCATATTTCTCTTATAAATACAGAATATAGATTTTTCTATTAAAAGTCCACAGTTTCACTAGCAGCTTTGAGTACTTTGTAAGGCATATTTTGAGCTCAGTGTTACAAGTGACATTGAGCAAACTTAAATTTTAACCTAATGGTGAAGCTATATCAAGATCGGAAAGGTTATTGGGCTTTACAGTGAAAAGGTCAGTCTCATTAAATGATAATCAATACAACAGGAGTCGAGCGCATGACCTGCTGATGGCAAAAAAGCAAAAAGTGTAAAAGTATCTGTTACAGAAAAAAAATTAACACTACACTGACCTATTTCCCCATTATATTTCACAGAGCCAACACAAAATAAAATACTAGCATCTTATAGTTCTAAAAGATTCATCTTCACAAAAAATGTGCAAAAATACTTTTCATACCAGCGTGTTTTATGATTTTTGTGCCTTACAGTAATATGCCACCACCAATCTAACCTGCTCACAGTTATTTGTTGCTTTTACAGTCACGTGAGTTCACATAGATGGGCACCACATGTCCACAGTTTAACCGCAACACTTTTTCTTGTCCTTGGTTGCTGTTCTTGGCTGAGGCATGTTGGCTCGCTGTAACTGTAGCGCCTGTGGGGCAGTGCACTTGACTCCATCCCAGCCCTCTTGCAGCTCTATCTCTCCACTCAATAGTCCCTGGTAGATCCGTCGAGTGAGGAGCTCGAAGCACTCCTTTACATGTTGCCCAGACTTTGCAGAGGCCTCCACGTAGGGCGTTCCTAGCTGCTGGGCCAGCATCTCTGCCTCTTCTCGGCTCACCGCCCTTTCCCTGTGAGCATCTCGATCATTCTTTTGACCCACCAGGATGAACAGAACCTTATGTGGCTGTACTCGCTCGCACACCTCAGCATGCCAGTCTTTAATATGGTCAAAGGAGGCTCGATGGGTGATGTCAAACACTAGCATGCCTCCAACTGAGTTGCGGTAATAGGAGCGGGTCACTGATCTGAGGAAAGAAGTGAGACAAAGGGGTAAAAAAATCTTAAGAGAGATAGAAAAACCCACACTGGCAAACAGAATCAAAATTTATGTCCTGTTCTAATGAGCAGTTAACAGCTGCTGTGTATAACTTCAGCTCTTTTGGACAAGCATTCATACAAACAGTTCCCCCTGATTTATTGAACCAAAGGTCATCTAAACTGTCAGGTGGTGAAAACTTCATCTAAACAGGTATTTCTGACAACAGGACAAGCCTTTGGTTCACTTAATGGGATTATAGATCCCATCCAGAGTGAAGTTAAATGCAAACAGGCGTAGTTTGCAATTTGTTTCAGTTCATTCAGCTGGAGAACTGGAAAATAAAGGATTTGGAGACAGAATGAAGCATGCTTCTCCTAGTTCTTTCATTAAATACGCTGAGCCTGGAAAATATTACATTTAAAAGAGCTCAATCTTCAATTTAGAAGTATTGCACAAACTGCACTTCTGTACACAGTACACACCTATCTTGTGACACTGACAGGGTGGACACACAATCATAGCAGAAAGTAAACAAAGCAAAACAACTTTATTGTGATCGGAATAGGCCCTAGTTCATTTGTCGCACACAACCTAAGTGTCTCTAATTTTCATTATTTGAACAGGGTCCTTGTAATGTGGCTTAATGCATTAAAAACGACAAATGTTACCTGGATTCCAACATAAAGCTCATATCATTGTAGAATGCATATATCTTATTCAAAGATCATCCATACCTGAACCTTTCCTGTCCTGCTGTGTCCCAGAACTGCAGCTTTACACGGACCCCCGGTTCCACCTCCAGGAAGTGAACGTAGAAGTCAACACCTACTGTCTCGTTGATGGACTCCATAAACAAGTCCTCTGTGTAGCGTTTCAGTAGGGAGGACTTTCCCACAGTTGAATCGCCCAGCATGATGATCCTGAACTGGTACTGCCACAAAGTCAGGTCCATTGTTGCTGGCAGTTACAAGAGATTAAGACAGGAATGACAGCTTTTGGAGATATGAAGGTGTGCACAAGCTCTGGGAAAGAGAAAAACAGATTGTCACAAAGATTAGAAAAGGTTAAAAGCAAATATAGTGAGAGATTACTGAGACTGAAGAGAAAGAAAGAGACATAACTTCATGGAGACTATCTACCACACAAACTTACCACCAGTTGCTTTCTTACCTCTGACAATCCAAATGTTGAGAAACAGGCATTAAGCCACTCCTTATTATTCTCACTACCAATGCAGCAGCAGTGTTCACAGCCACCCCAAACTTCTTTCCTTTTGTGACTGCAGTACAGCTCTCATTCCCATGGTGGCTCTTCAAATCCTCTACGAGGACAGGTATGTAGAAAAATCTGCCCCACAAAGTGGATCCATTTGAGCTGCTGATCTTAACTAGTATAGTAAGCTTGTACACAAGTGTGGCTTTGCAGGGGCGTGTACTTCTAAAGGTTGCTTGTTGATACTTGACTAAAGGAGGGGCAAGAGCACAAGGACAAAGGGAGGGCCAGATGTGGGAAAGGGGGACGTTTAAGGAAGTAGTGGCTGCCTAAAAAAACTTATCAGGGGAAACTGTGCAGTTTCCTGTAGTTGAGAGCCAGTAGGGACGTCATCATCAACAAACATACAAAATGAGGGTGACTGTTGGCAACTCTAACAGTTGCCACACTATTTGCAACAGTTTTTATCACTTTATGATCTCGTATGTGCAGCGAGGATCTGAAAAGGGAAGTTGATAACAATGTCGCTTTTTATCCTCTGGGAAAGCCAAACTGGGGGTGGCTGTAGCTCAGGAGGTAGAGCAGGTCACCTACTGATCGGAAGGTTGGAGGTTCGATCCCAGGCTCCTCCAGTCTGCATGCCAAGTATCCTTGGGCAAGATACTAACCCCAAGTTGCTCTCCGATGCGTCCATCGGAGTGTGAATGTAGTTAGAAAAAGCACTAAGTACAGATAAAGTGCTTGTGAGAATGGGTGTGACTGGGTGAATGTGGCATGTTGTATAGAGCGCTTTGAGTACTCCGGGAGAGTAGAAAAGCGCTATATAAGAATCAGTCCATTTACCATTTACCATTTGGTCTCACAGCTATATGTAAAGCGACCGTGACCTCTTAACATTATGCAGTGATGGAACGGGTTCACGTTACATGAAGGCACCATGGAGAGCAACAAGGTTCCTCTCCACTGTCCTGGTTAGTAGGATAATGAGTCCATCCTTAGGCAGTTGTGACACCAGCATATTTATGAAAAGTCATTCACACATACTCACAGCTTGTGGGGGTAATATTCAACAGGACACCCCCCCCCCCACAAAAAAATACAAATAAACAGACATGCTGCATAACACATGCATCTAAATTTAATAAATAAAAGGCATTTCAGTGCATTTGGGTCACACAATGGTAACAAAAGTGGATCTCATGTTACTAAGTAGACTGAAAATGCAAGAGGGACATTTGATAGTGATAACCTACTAGATGCTTTTACTGATGCTTCAAGATCCATTTGAGATCGTAGTTTTAGTTTTATTCTGTTGTTGTCGCAAAGGTTGCTTAAATTTCCCCAGATGACTGTGCATCAGCATATTTCAATTTAAACAGTTCTTAGTCAGAAATAGCAGTAAAGGGCAATCATGTTTACTGGTCATAGGCAAAAGTTGTGCAACCTGAACTGGTCAGTTCAGTTTTAGGGCTTCACAAACTAATGGCGTTCCAAAGTGAGCGAGTCTTCAAATGACAGCTTACATGCAGAAATTAAAAGCCTGCATCCATGTGATTGATTCCTGCCTAAATCTTTAACATTATCAGAGCAGAATATTTCACATTTTCACCCAAGAGTCACAGCCTCATGTCCAAACAGATTTGGATGTAATACAGAGAAAGACTGTTTAAAACCAAACCAGTATTAAACTATGGGGGAAATACAGATGAAAAAACTGACAAACAATTACAACAATTATATCAGTAATTCCCTATACACTATGTATATATATATATATACACACGTATACATGTACACACGTACATACACATGTATACACGTACACATGTGTACACACACACACACACACACACACACACACACACACACATATATCTCCCTTTCTCAGATGCTACAATTCCAAAAAACTGAGAACGTCTCTGAAAAATATTTCTCTGAAAAACTCCAAAATACACATCTTCTCAATATTTTACCAGAACATCATTATGATAACAGCAGTACACTTTATACTGATGGGCTGATATCTTCCCTTTAATCATGTACCTTAGTGTATTCTTTTTTGACAAGTTCCATTACAGCAACATTTTTTTGAGTTCCCTCACAAAACCTTTATTAATACTTGATTTTTGCAGCAACTTTAAAACACTAAAATAAACAGAATTCACTACCTTTATTATTTTGCTGTAGGCAAAATATTTGAAGAACATAAATTATAAATTGTTATGACAATAAAGTATTAACAATTCAAAAATACAGAGTAATACAAAGATTGTTTGTGCAGAGTCAGTCCTGGGTGATCTCCATGAGCGGCACATACACAAAAATTACTTCTACAAAGACAGAAACTTCAGCTCACGCATGTCCATGTCGGGAGAGCTGCTACCACTGTGATCACTGTAGGTGTCCCTGAAATGAAAGGTAAATTCATAAGATTATTACATCAGCAAGACATTATAGGGACAGTCTTACTGTAACTGCGGGAATTGTTGTGACATAGCATCAGTTTTAAATGCAGATATAATATGTGTGGGCAAAATGCTTAATGACTGATGTTAAATATTGATCAAGTTGTAGGTTCTTTGTAGGAGGTTTTTTCACATGTTTACCATTCAGATTACTTATTAAAAGTGTCATCAAAGCTAAATATGATGAAAAATGAGAGCAAGGTGAAATAACATTCAACTGTTTGGAGGTTGGAGAAACGCCATGATGGAATAAGCGAGCTGGGAAGTTATAGCTGCAGCTAAACTTCGAAACTGTTGGACTGTCACCATTGCAGTTTCATTTCCTTTAAATAACTTTTGAATTGGTAATTGATGTGCTGGTGGTTACCGTGGAGAAAGGCGACAGCCCTTGGCCAGGTAGCTCTGGAGTTTTCCTGCAGAGGCCAGCAGGAGACCAAAGTATGGAGGAGAAGGTTTGATAGGTCTGGAGGTGAACTCTGGATGATACTGCACTCCAACATAGTAACAGTGGTCTGAAACCAAAAAATTGCGTATTACTGCACATGTTTCTGCTCCCTCAGGCTTCATTTAAACAACAAAGATTAAATGTTTGATATCATAACGAAGGACAGTTTGGGGTTAAACATGATTTCTCTACATCGTGTTCAAGAATTGTATGTATTAGAAGAAGCCGGTGGGTGCTGGATTTCAAACACGCTTTCCCCATACCCTCTAATTCAATGACTTCCATTCGCTCTCCTTCCACATCCTGACCAACAAACTGAAGTCCTTTTTGTTCAAAGTGATGCTTCAGCTCTGGATTCACCTGAAAATAAGATAAGATTCTGTGATTCAAGGTTTTATGTTTTGTTTTGTTCTTGCAGTACTTCTAGAAAAAAAGCCATGGACCCAACAAAACAAAATAATGTTCAAATCAAATCTCAAAGTTAGATAAGATACTGCACACAATACGTTTTGCTTAATAAATTTTGTAACTTTGTTTGGGTCACTACCTCAAATCTGTGTCTGTGCCGTTCGTCAACATATTCCACATCTCCATATAGCTTTCCTGGAAGAATAAAAAATATTTTATCAACAGTAATTAGGTAGAAGAAGTCCATGTATCATTTGATCCAGGGAGATACATACTCAGCACACTGGTGCTGGATGAGAAAATGGTCCGCCTCTTTCCCAACCTCATAGTCCCACCCATCTGGCCTGGGTTGTGTTCTGGCATGTCAATTACCTGTAGAGATCAAATCAAGATTATATAACTGATAATGGATGGTAAAAATGCATGGTAAAAAAAACAAAGAGGATAACATACCACAGGGTGTTTGGATTCTGGATTAAATTCTGTGGAGTTGGCATCTGAAAAACACAAGATGAACTAATCTGAGCACAAATCAGCTTTCCAATAGGTGGAAGCCTTATTCATCATTAAATTAGAAACCACTGGAAGCAAATGTTTCTTAGCTGTGTCCTCAGCAGAACTAAACAATCACGTACCTTCCCATCCAAGAACACTGCGGGCAAACTCACACACTGCCAGCTGCATGCCCAAACAAACGCCTGCAAAAAACAAGGCCAGTGGAATTCTAAATATTAAACAACATATTTTTATATAATATATAAATCACTGACTACATGTAATGAATTTGGATGTTAAGTGCTACCTCATATGATTAATTGTCAGTAAAGAAAGGTGTGCAGTAAATACAGATTACCCTTTCAATATGCACCACAGAGAATTTCAGCAGCCAAAACAAATACAAGACCTTGAAACAAAACCCCAGTAGGGGGTTTGTCTTTTCATTGGTGTAAGCGGTATTTGAAAAATTGATATCATACATAAAATATATGAACAGCATCCCAGCACATCCTCTACACCACCCAGCACTAAGGTGTGTAGGACAGAGTCTCTGCTTAGACTGAGTCTATATCTATAATCAACTCAATGTGTTTCCCCCTATTTGTCTTTCAATAACTGCTCAAACTACGTCCAACTGCAATATAATATGATACACAGCATACAGCATAGCCGGACATCTCCCTTACCCAGGAATGGCTTATTCTGTTTCCGTGCCCAAGAAATAGCCTCCATCTTGCCTTCTGTCCCTCTTGCACCAAAACCTCCTGGCACCAAGACACCACTGTGGAAAGGACAGAAAAGACCATCCCTGAGATTTCACAGACACATGTAGAACCACTTAAATCTATTTAAACCTTGTGTTACTCTCTCTGGAAAACTTAAAAAAGCAAAATGCCAGGCTGGTATTGTACAGCCAATGTAAGATAATTCAGTATCGTATGGTTAGTGAACTAAGTAACATAATTAGAAATAATTTCGTTTGTGATAGTATCTGATTAAGACACACTAGTGACATTGTTCTTCAAAAAGATGAAGAAAGAAGAAAAAAAAAAAAAGACCACTATCCTAAATTGTGTTTCCTTTACCAAAACAACCCCCTGCGGTAATACATTTATCTTTTTGGCTGTCCCCAACTTGTAGCATACCCAGTTACTGCTTCTTTTGAAACAGCCACAGACAAACAGGACTTTTCTTTTAACCCGTTTGCAATATTGCTACTACCATAGCTGCACGAACTATAATACTGTATCACCAGAGTGTACATTTTAATATCGACAGCTGCTGATTATCCAAGATTATCCACACTTCTTAGCGTGTTTTCGCCTTGTTTTGTCTACTCACTGAGCACTGCAGAGTTTCTGCCAGGCCTCGTGATATTTCACTGGATCATCTTGCAGTGTAGTAGTCTCCAAATCTGCAGAGTCTATGTACTGCAATAACAACAAACAGTGTAATCTGGATGGAGATCAGTCAACAACAGGCTGCACAAATACAGGAATATGTGAGGTTTTATTTAAGTATAGCAAGTTTATCTGACAACAGTCCAAACTGAAAACAGCGATGCAAAATTCAGAAATTAGAAGAGAGTTTTCTCCTTACCTTGACCTCTAGTTTGTGATTAATGGCAAGGGCTGAGTGCTCTAGGGCCTTAATAACAGATGTGTAGGAGTCAGCTAACTTTGTATATTTTCCCACCAGGGCTATGGAAACATGCTCCAAGAGACGGTCGGATCTGAAAAGAGAGGGAGATGATTTATAGTACAGAATCTGGTGCATTCTTTGAATGATTACTTCCTCAGCTACCCGTTTTACCTCAACGCTCAGTATGTTGTACTCACTGGGAAAAGAAAAAATAAATAAATCTGCTTCTGGTGTCAGCATTCTTTAGGGAAAGTTTTGTGACCAAAATCATAACAAGCATCATTATTGCTGACGTATTAGGAGGTTCTGAAACTTAGATTGAATCTGTCATGCCTACTTGTCTAGTAATGTTATGTTCAAGGGGTCCAGAAACTCAGCCAAGTCTGACACCAAGTTTTAAATTGAATAAACACACAGAGTCCTTTTTCTATGTTGTATTTGAGGTTATGTCACGAGCAAGGAGCAAAAACAAACAAACAAACAAAAAAACAGCATTGTGGATGTTCAAGGCTTCGAAATACACAGTCCAAAACAAATAGCAGCCAAGTCCACATTTTGTACCTTAAATGAATGTATCTAGTTTTCCCTGTTCAAGACAAAATTAGAAATAGTTAAAGGCTGAGATACTCTTTCCTACCGGTCAGCCATCTCCTTCCACTTTGTGAACATCTTTCTGGGTCTCATCTCAATGGGCAAGTTCAACCGCTCGCACAAGTACCTCACAACACCCTGATCCTCCAGCAGCAGAGGAACTCTATAAATTGAGGAGACATCGTGGACACAGATCACCTGAAAAGAATTAGAAGATGTGTTATTTGTTGACATCTGCTACTTTTTTTAAAAAACCATTTTTATACACTGACCTGTCACTTTATTAGGTATGCCTTAGCTATCAAAAGGACCAGAGTGTCTCTTGGTATAAAATGTTACAAATCCCCCACATCTTTGCAACATCACCGCTGGTCTGAATTGTTGATACAAAGTAGGATGGATCCACGCTTTCAATTTCTCTACACCACATTCTGACCCCTTCTGAATACCCTGGTTGTAACGAGTGGTTATTTGAGGTACAGCTGCCTTCCTATCAGCTCAAAGCAGTCTGTCTATTCTTCTCCGAACTCTGGAATTAACCTGGAGATGAAAAATCCCAGTAGATCAGCTTTCAAAGTCACATCAACTTTCTTTCCTATTCTGATGCTTGGCTCAAACAAGCACCTGAGCAGGTGTACCTAACAAAGTGGCTGATGAGAGGATATGCTTTCCACATCTGAGGTCAGCATCTATCTAAATCTAATGATATCATAGCAACAAAAAGTAATTACTTAATAATAATAAATTATTATATAATGTTATATCTACTTATAATATATGACAACATTATCTGAAATAGTAGATGTTAGTAGTGATGAGAACTGTACTAGCTCATAACTAACATAAGTAGCCTACCCTACCTACAGTTTTACAGGAAATCACCTGTGTGGGCTCCACATGACAAAACATGGAGATCTTTTCCTTGACAGATGTTTCTAGAGGAGTTGTACAGCGACAAACAATCTGCCAAAAGAAGGACATATATCAGGATAATGTATACAAACAAAATAATGCCAGAGCGCACACTTGAGTGTTTACGATTTAATACACTCCAAATTTTATTTGATTGTGTACATAATGAAATTAACATGTGAAAATGATGGCTTTATCGGAAGAATGAGGACAAGATCTGAGAGGTACATACTGATATAATAGTGGTAAAAAAAAATCTGCCAAATCAATCCTACAGAAAACAGTTCATCTATTGATTTAGCACGCAGTTGTAAAATTTATTCAAGTTAGCCATTTTAACGCTTAGTGCAGTCTCGGGGGTGGTGCTCTTTACTTTTTATTAGTGCTCACACTAGTTAGCAGATCACCCATAGTACACCCATTTGACTTGCAGATATAAGAATCAGTTTAATCTGACTACCCACCAAATCTGCAGACAATCCCAGCCCTCTGAGTTCCCGGACGCTGTTCTGGGTTGGTTTGGTTTTCTGCTCCCCTGTGGTATTGGGCTTTAGAGAAAAGATACATCCACACAAAACAAAGCATAAATGGCCGTGCAATATAAGTCCGAAGTGATTATTCCCCCCCCCCCCCTTTCAATACCATGTTCCTTTAATTACCAAAAGAATGAATTTAAGACTAATGAAACAAAAGTATTTCAAATTATTCATTAGATCTGGGGATCTTACAGGTAATCGCTTTTTCTACAATATCTGTTAACACTACTTGGTTGTGCATGGTCACTAGCAAACCATACCTGTGGTATCAAGCTGACATGGATGTTGCAGAAGTTCTCCCTTTTCACCTTGAACTGGAACTGTCTGAAAGCTTCAATAAAAGGCATGCTCTCGATGTCCCCCACTGTGCCTCCTAGCTGTGGACACAAAACACCAGCTTAAAGCACAGAATTACATGCAAGAATACACAGGCTGAGCCTCAGCACTTTGGAAAGACTTGGGAAATACAGCACACTGTCAGCAGTACCAAGCCCATAATACTGTCAGCGCTGGTTTGAAGTATGCTGTATAGAAAGAACTGCTAGAGGCAGGATAATAATTTAACTTGGTTTATGAGAACTTGACTCTTTTAAGCTGCAAATATATTAAAGACAAAATAATTCTGCAGCACATACTGTAAAATAAACACTTGATTTATAACACAATGATTTAACACTGTTTTTTAAAAATACATAAAACATTTATTTCCCAAGGCTAGAAACAGAGCCAGTGTTTTTACAACCTTTCAACAGCAAATCATTTTTTAAATCCCTCTATTTACCAGTTTTTACTGGGTTTTTTTGTTTTTTTTGGTGCATCACAGTGACAGTCATTTGTTCGGGTTCAGCTATTTCTCAGACCTGCTGCTGAATAGTGTCAATATTTGCTATCGCTTCAGGCAACAAGCTTTTTTTTTTCTTCCAATCCTTTTGGAAAATGTCGTCTACTTCTCAAAATCACTAGAAAAACAGAATTGCACAAATGATTAAAGTGGCGGTACTCAGACTATGAGGTGTTGAGCTACCGCAAGTGGGGCATGGACGACCAGTTGAAAAATGTTAAATGAAACTAAGTTGAATGAAAATGATACATTTTTATGTGAAAAATACATTTGTTGTAGATATTATAATTACTTTATTTCAGAAAAATTCAACAAGGATTCCACTTCTGAAGTGGAGCATTATTTTTTTAAGTCTGAGAACTACTAGACTAAAGAATGACCCATGGAAATGTAAATAAGATACTTCCCACTGCAGCATATTTATTTACACTACAGGTCACCTTGGCCAACAATATAAATCCCAGTTTACCTCTATGACACAAACTTGAGGCTCCACACCGTCCTCATCCACTGAAATGGTTGCCTGCTTCATTACCCATTCCTGAATAGCATCTGTGATATGTGGCACCACTGACAAAGAAAAGAAAAATTTTAGCTATAGTTATCTGTGCATTTGCATTGTATAACTCAACCCTGAGAAATGCATGCACACATGTCAAATCTGCTTTCCTAAGGCCCGTTTTGGCAATAAAAGCAGTTATGTAAACAGTAATATCCAACCTTGTACAGTCTTGCCCAGGTAGTCTCCTTTTCTCTCCTTGTTGATTACCGATTGATAGATCTTTCCAGTTGTGATGTTGTTATCTCTGATAAGGCGGATGTCCAGGAAACGCTCATAGTTACCCAAATCTAGATCCACTTCCCCACCATCATCGAGAACAAACACTTCACCTGGAAAAGACAAACAGTACATCAGTGTTTTCACACAGTTTGTTTCATAGTAGCTTTTCACCTGGTAAAAATCCTTCCTGAGCCCCACTTGAGCCCCGCTTACTAACATAACAAATAGATATATGCTTGACACTTTATTACGTACACCTTGCTCATACTGTGTCAGAACCCCCTTTGCCTTCAGGACTGCCGTAATTCTTAGTGGCACAGATTCATCAATGTGTTGGAAACAGTCCAGAGGTTTTGGTCCATGCTGACATAAAAGCATGACTTACTTTGGTGCAGATTTGTTGACTGCACGTCCAAGATGCAACTTCCCTATTCCACCAAATCCCAAAGGTTCTCTATTGGAATGAGATCTGTGATTTTGGCACAGTGAACTAATGTTGTGTTCCATTTGCCTCCAAAGTCAGAGCTATGAATGATGCCATTCCTAAATTTAGTTTGTTCAACAAATATGGAAAAGCAAGCAGTGCCATTAATGCATCACTAGCAGTACAACCCAATGCTTGCTTTTGCTTAAAAATGCTGCTGCAAGACATTCACCACTGTCAGTGGTCTGTATATGAGGTGTTTGTGGTTGCAAACACACAGATATGCAGGATATCTTCTCTTTTTTGGGAACACTATATAAAAAATCTCAAGAGATCAACAGTTTTTGAAATCCCGACCCAGATAGCAAAAACAACCATGTCATGTACAAAGTCACTTAATCTACCTTTCCTTCACATTCAGCTGCTTAGTTTGAACTTCTTCAGCTCATCTTGACCCTATATAAATGCCTAAATGCACTCAGTTGCTGCCATGTGATTGGTTGATTTTACACTTCCATCGGCAATCAGTTAAACAGGTGCACATCAAAAAATAGTCAGTGACTGTACACTGTATGGAAACAACCTGTGCTCACACCACTCTACCTTAAAGGCTCTAACACTCCCACAGCACTTCTTGTCAAATATTAACCACAGAACTCCATCAAACAATTGAATCAAACTGCTGATGGCAATTGACTGAGGACAAGGACATTGTTAGAAGCAGTAAATTATAAATTACTTACCGTGCTCATAGGGTGAAAAGGTTCCAGCATCAATATTGATATATGGGTCGATTTTGATGGCTGTGACATGAAGACCGCAGGACTTAAGGATTGTTCCCACACTGCTGGCAATGATGCCCTTACCAATACCAGATATAACGCCACCAGTAACCAGGATGTACTTCATAGTGGCATCTAAGACTAAACACAGAAAACAGGAATCCAGTAAATGACTTACAAATGTACTTTACATTTCTAGGACAAGTTCTTAGCAATACTGGCATTTGCAAGCTTTATTTACTCAAGTAACAAATAGTATTAAAAGTCCCAAGGCTCCTTCTGCAAGTGGAAAAAAAGACATTTTATTTTATAATTTTCTATAGTGTTTTTGGGGAAAATAAATAAACACATGTCCCCGCTATCCAGCGAGATATTTTAGTTGCTGTATGCTATGCTTGACACAACCCTGTCACCAATACTCCAGAACTTAAATAAGTAGAATTGAATAATGTTGTTTAATACATTTTTGGCCTTCTTTTAAGGTAAGGATAGTCAAACTCATACTGAGCATTTAATTTCAGATAAGACTTAATTTACATGGCTGAATCAATACATTATTTTTATTTGTAGATGACGACATAAACATAACAGGGTATCAAATCAGTGCTACTATTTGTGTTTTCTCAGAAAAAGACCCAAGCTGTGGAATGTATTGGACTATAAAAATCGAAAATGTAGTTATAAAAATAAAGGAAGTAAACAGAATTGAAAGGAATTTCTTTCATGGTAATATGTAACAGGCTTCCATCTGTCAAAATGACCGACTTGATCACTCAGTGAAGTCAAACAAGATCGGAAGAAAACAAAACATCTCAAACAGGTTTCAAGGGCTGCACAAAGTTGTTATATTTGTTAAATAATATGTTATATTTATTAATTTAGTTATCAAGAAGTTAGGACAAGAGAAAGATTATTGTGTTTGTGCGTGTGTGTGTGTGTGTGTGTGTGTGTTCGTTGGGGGCGGGGTCAGATTCAAGGAAAACCCTGCACAGAATGACTCCTAAACTGTCTATTTTAACAAGGTACTTGCCCTGCACCAACATTTAAATGGAGAATTTCGCTATGTGCTCAGAAAAGTTATAGCTATAACACTTAACAGCACAGTCTGTCTGTATCATGGTTTGATTAAACTGACAGCATGATGGTGTTTTTCCTTATAGAGGTGTGGCTAACCCTTTGTTTACATCCATTTGTTTACATTGTTCGGACCTATGCATTACAGTGAGACTGTACGAACACAAGTGGGTGAATCCAAATTGTAAAACCTAAGAATGTGTCAACATGTGATCGAATTACACCGGCGTGAAAGACGCATTAACTTTTGTTATTGTTGTTTTTATTGACAGTGTATGAAGTTAAATTGGCGGGAAAAACAGAGCGCCGCTATAAGTAAGGGTAACTTCTCCAGAGGGGCTCCTGAGAGCTTTCGTGGGTTACTGAGTTTTGTCGTAATTTGTTTGTTTGCTACATACATATTTCACAGAGGAAAACTGGTCGGTTGATTAGTTTTCACCTGTCGTAACCCAGCTAACATTATCCATAGTATCTTGTGTGAAGTCCTACCTTATGGATTTTACTTACAGAGACAAAAAACTGATTCATTCAATAGCATCCAACAAGAAAAATGTCATATTTATCGTGTTATTATATCAGTTAACTGGTTATGACCAAATTTGGAACGCCAATAACCAACTTAGCGGCATTTTCTTTATCCATTAAACGACGTTCCGAGATACAGCGTCATTAAAAAAAGCCATACAAACTCACCAAACGGCTATAGCAAAGTGTCCAGAAATACCTTGATGTAGTGTTTATCTAACGAATTTCTTTCTGTTCGTAAAGAAAGCCCACGTTGTTGCAGTACAGCAAACACGTGTATGACAGGCTGCGCTGACTGGTTGAGCCACTTCTCCAACAGACAGCTTGCGTCCTTCCGTTTCGTAATGTAAGTAAATTTTCCTTCCTTTTGTTTGCTCAGGCAGACCTTAGGCGCCGCCCATACAAGATTAACCAATGAGAGAACTGAATTGCGGAGAAACTATGCCTTACAGATTAAACTACGGTCGAATTTTTATGCCTCGGGTCTACACACTGGGGCGAATGTAAAGCATTTCAAGGTCAGTGCAGCTGCACCTTTTTTGAAACTAGAAATTAAAACTCATCAGGAAAATGATTTTGGATTATCAAAGCCTTCTTAATCTTTTTTTGTCTTTGTATAAATTGACAGATTTTCTCCACTACTGTGATGAGATATTATCATGCTTAGTAGTAATTACTATTTAAAAATAAAGCAATAAAAACATAGCTATTATACTAATTTGTAAGTCAAAATATGTGGAGAAGAACTTTATTCTAATTATCATATTTGTCCGACTCACCACTAGATGTCCTCAGTTTTCTATGTTGCATTATTCATCCCCTAAGCAGGCTAAAGCTTGACCTTTCACAAGTATAATAATACTATTAATAAATAATGATCTGGAAGGAAATAAGCCTTACATTTACTAACACAGAAATTCAATGTCCTCATGTATTATTGTTTGGCAAGTGTGGCACAATGAGACAAAGCACTAGTCCCACTTAAAACCCAGTTTACACTCTAACACAGCCTCGAAGATATTTAAGTTTTTTGTATTCACTGTTGTGCTGCTCCAGTTTTGCTGTGGGTAATGAGAGTGGTGATTCTAATTCATTTCTGTCCATGATCTAATTAAAGACCTCGTCCCTGCCACCTCATTTTCATAAGCTGTTCCCTTCAATTACATCTGACAAGTGAGCAGAGACACACATTAACCTCCTGCAGGAAGAACTACTGTGCTTTCCTCGTGTCTTTGAAACATTAAAATACAAGAGAGCCATTCAAAGCTAATTCCACCTCTCTCAATCTACCTATTTGCAAAACATATCTGAGGATAAGGCCGCACCCACCACCCCCACAGTCTGATGTAGACTTTCTTTGATGCAAATGACAAGAGAGTGCCATGCAATGTTGTATTTTGCAATGCTTAGTGGTCATGCGTATCACAACATCCAAAGACATTCTCTATAAATGCAACACTATCAGTGTGTATACCTTCAGAAGCCAAGAGGAAAAAGCTTAAGTTAGAGCGAAACTTTATTGACCTAACTCCCAATAAAATAGACATATTGAACCATATAGCACTGTTTTTGACACTCAAGGTTATTTGCGCACAGACAAATGAGAGATGTTTATTTATGAGAACTGAACTTTAGGTGTAAGATAGGATAAAATTTTCATTGGGAGTGACCAGGATGGGAGAGGATTAGAAATGAGTATATCAGATGAACATGCTCAAACTAAGCAGCTTGGAGACAAAGTTAGAGAGGCAAGACTGAGATGGTTTGGACGTGTGCAGAGGAGGGATGGTGAATATATTGGATAAAGGATGTTGAAAATGGAACTGGCAGGCAGGAAGAAAAAAGTAGGATCTCAAAGGAGGTTCATGGGTGTAGCGAAGGAGGACATGCAGAGGGTGGGTGTGACAGAGGAGGAGGCTAGGGATAGGGTGAGTTGGAGACAGATTATCTGCTGTGGCAACCCCTAAAGGTAGCAACCAAAAGAAGAAGAAGAAAAAGAAGAAGTGATGTAGTTTATTTTAAACTGCATCGCGCCAGCTGTTGTCTCCTATTATGTGGTTATGTTGTCTTGTTAGAACATGAGGTTAGTAGCTATGGTTTGAATTAGGCTAACAACAAACACAACAAAGGCAACTTATTGCCAAAACATTTTGTTGGCTAAATATATTCAGGTCTTAAGGAATCATTGCTTTTCTATATCTTGTAAAAGACTACACGGAATATTTGGAAATGTTAGACTTCCTTAGGATCATTTATGCTAACTGTTGGACTATGATCTTGTAATGAGAATTTTACAATTTTCTGATGTTTAAAAACCAGACGATTAACCAGTCAGCTGGGAAAATTCAGCAGTTAAATCCAGGATGAAATTATGTGAAAATTTCTGCCTTAATTGTATAATTATCTGTAATTGATTCCATTAGTTATAAAAAGCACAATTATCTGATTCCATGAAATCATAAATAAAAGACTGCTTGCTTTTTTTTGCTGAAGATTATTTGTGTTTCAATTAAGTGACTCAAAAAAAAATGACTAATATCATCATAATAAAAACAACCATTTCCTTGTTGTGCAAATAAAGTGAATTATCCACGAGAAAAGAATGATGAGAAATATTCCACCAAAGTCAAACATCAGTTTGTTTTGGCAGGTTTCCCCACCACTCCTCTCTGTAAGCTGCGTAGCAGCAGGGTCAGATGTCACAAGCTGCTCTACTCTCCCAGACCTCCAGTGGGCAAGAGAGGGCCAACTCCCAGCTCAAGCAGACAGAAACAGTAGCCCACACCCCTCATGCCAAACACACATTATTTATGAATAAGAGTGGTGCCTTTCCCCGTCCTCTTGTAGTTTTGGAATTTTAAAGACAGATCGATTTAGGATGGGAACACAGATGGCTCTTAAGGCACAATGCAGTTCAAAACCACTCAGAGGAAGAGTGAGCTCTTGGGCAATTAGTGTCATTATGGCTGCTCATGTGCTTGGTGGGCTGGATAAACAGTGGCTGTGGCTTCTAGGGGTTAGGCATGTGGGTAGCATGGATAATGATGATCGGTGCTGTACTGCAGCAGGGCAGCGCATGCACAAAAACACACATACACACACACACACACACAAAACAGCTTTAAATAGATGCTGGGCAGAAAGCAAAGGTAAAAAGGAAAAAAGAAAGTAAAGGAACTAGAAAAATCAAACTACTTATGATCATAAAACCAAACCAAAACCAAATGTATTCTATTTAAAACAACAATATAAAAACAAAGAAAAGCACCACACTGACACATTTGAGACACCTTGTGATTACAAAGTTTTGAAACATTAAAATGTATTTTTTATCACAGTTGTTGACTTCTAATTTCCTGTAAGTCAGCAATTCAGGTAACCACTGATAATGTTACAAATGTATTATTTATTTTTATATATACATATATGATATTTGTGTGATATTATATTTTCGTGTGAACTGGTGTTGTTGTCAGTTTGAGATCTGAGAGGTTAGCACATATATGCACACACACACACACACGCACACATGCACACGCGCACACACACACACACACACACACAAAATCATCTACAGTTATAGTGACAACCACATGTGACAAAGAGGATGTGTGGTTGTAAACAGACCGAAAGTGACCTGTAATTTCTCTGAGAAATGCAGCTCGTAGACCTTGAGGGGAAACTCACGCTGAGTTTGTTGTCATTATCTTAAACCTATTTAATACACATGTGTGCGCATGCATCTCTATGGGAGCGTAACACCTACCATTCTCTTTGCCTAAACCACAAGTTATTGAGAAAATAAATGTCAGTTAAAGGGCGTTGTCTGTGGCGTCTGTACTTGTCTCTCCTCCTGCTAATTGGAGCACATCTAATTTGATTATGAGCACCAGTGAGGAAAAGCATTGAGAGTGAGAGTTTATTGGATAACATGGGACCAACGATGACAATAGAGAGATGAGAGGGAGTGAAATGGAGAGAAAGAGAAATAGGAATTAAGTGATTTGTGAGAGAGAAAGGGAGAGAGACACTCCAACAGAGGGAACGAGAGACTCTTCCCATGGGGGGATGAGACTGGATCAGTGCCCGGTATGCCACTGCACTGTCGTCTGTGAGCTGCCTTTGTACATGTATGGAGACCAGCATATCTCATGATCCTCGGCTATTATCTCGACCCAACTCCTAGTATGGGGCCTAGTATTCTCTCCTGCCTATTGCTTCTCTTCCTGCTTACTTTCACCACCTGCCTCTCACCCTTTTTCCTTTTTTCCACTCTATCCTTCCTCTCTTCTCAATCCTTATGACCCCCTACTCCTCCTTATTACACTCTTCCTGTCCATCTCTTCACTCTCCTGGCCAACGCACAGCTAAAGCTGGGCCTCTGCCACCTGAAAACAGATGACAGTTTTGTGCTTTTTTCCCCCTGTTACTGCTACAGACCCCCCTCCAGGAGAGGTCCGTCTGCTTAAGACGAGAGGGGGAAATGAGGATTGATTAATTTAAAAAGCACGCTCTCCTCTTTTTTCTTCTCTGAGCCCCCCTTTAGCAGAACATGCCTGCCCAACAGAGAGAGATTGAGAGGAAAATCATGGAGGCTCATTCATCAAGTTCTGTATCCCATTATAAATAATGTGTGTAAAGTGCAAACAAGCCTGGGAACTAAGGGTTGTGGCCTTTGACCAGCACTGCTATTATGTATGTGCAGTTAAGACTTTTTCAGTGAGGGAACGGTGACAAGATCAATGTGTCAAAGCCAACATGATCCACAGGAGAATCTTGTCTTTAATTTTTCTGTCTTAATTTGAAATAATGTTCAGTATTTCGTATTTTAAGAAAGGGCAAATGTGTATACATCATTAACAATACACCATATAAATGACCAAACAATCATGAATTGTCATTATGTAACATACGTCATTATGTAACAACAATTCAGTTGTGTAACTTTTTTCTCAAAATACAAAATAATTGATTTTACTTTAATCGCTAACTGTCAAATGGAATTTTGCTTCCTAAAATAATCAATGTGGCAGTCAAATCACCAGTAACATTAAAAAAAAGTCCGTCTGATAACAGATCATACTCTAGAAGGAGATACGCCCTGATGCCTTGTGACCCTGCACATTAGCACTCCTAGACCACATGTCATTTTCAAGTCAGATGCTAGACTGAGCCGAACAAGCAGTCCTTTTATCACTAACTCAGTTATTCAGTTATTTCAACCTCTTCACGCACTGAAGACTGCTCGACTTGCTTACACCACTTAGCTGTGAGTACCCGTCACAGGAAGGAGAGGTGCAACTCGCTGCTGATATTTCTGATG